CACACACACACACCCGCCCCAATGTTAACTTCGTGGCGGCGCGCCTGCTCCTAATGCCCCGCCCCTGAACTGCTCTCACTGAGTTCTAACAAGATGCCAAAACCATTTGATCTTCTTTTACATGTGGGTTTCAGGGCCTCAATGCGTGCGGGTGGCGGGGGGGGGGGGGGGGGGGGGGGGGAGACAAGTAATTGACTCACTGCTTCCACAATGAACTTGTCGTAAGTGTCGACTAATTAGTGTTTTTCTTTGAAGTCGGAGTGGATATGCCTGCTAGGCAATGAACAAATAGTCTGCATACAAAAATGTCAGATGTGTAAAATGGACATGCACTCAACGCTCACGTTATGGAACAGGACTAAAGCCCGATGATGGGCGGACAATTAAAACTTCCAGTCGGTGTTTACAGCAGATGAACGTGAAAAAGATGAAGATTTGATCTTGTGTTTTGCAATATGTTTTTATTTTTCAAATCTTTATTATCTCACTATTTGTCTCATAGCATCCTTTCTCATTCAGTCTAAAAATAATTAATATCATACTTCCAAATCATAACCAAAAGGTATAGTACTTTCTCATTTTAACCTTGAGGGTTGAACAGGATATCAGTGAATACGATAATTCCAGCAACATCCAGAGGAATACCGAGATTCTATTTAAACAACCTGTGTCTAGTGTGCGCTTGATTCGCTAAAACTGTACTCTTTTATAATAATAATTTCATTTATTCATTTATATATATATATATATATTATTTATTGTTCTGTTCTCACTTTATATCAATAACATAGCTGTTACTGGGTTTCGTTTACAACATAATGTCATTTGGTTACGCTTTATAACGGACCCTGGCAGTGTCGGTGTTCTTAAAGTGCCAACATGGCGTTGACCATTGTAGCCGTAACTCTTTGCATTTTGCATTCGTCTTCGGCATTATATTTTCATATCGGAGAAACAGAAAAGAAATGTTTTATTGAAGAAATACCAGATGAAACCATGGTAGTTGGTAAGAATTTGGCTTTTGTAAAATTTGATTTGACTGACTGATATAGTTTATGACTTTATTATTCAGATTGCTTGGTTTCAAAATGAGAATCAGAATCAGTTGCAGTTGCTTGCACAGTTTTGAGTTTCAGCGGTTCAACCGTTTGCCAAATCCCCGTGACAGAAGGTTACTTATTTTAAACTATAAGTACTGTAACTTACCTAGTTCTGTAAAGGAGAGTATTGACACAGTATTCTAGAAATAAAAAAATAAAAAACTTCTTATTCTGATGTAAATAATTAATTATGCTTTATGTTACATATGAATCATATAAAAAAATGTAATCAACTTTATCACTTACCAATCATATTATGATTGGTGAGGGATAAAGTTTACATTTTTTTTAGACAAAAAAAAAAAAAACTAAAAGACAAGTCCAGAAATATCACCTTTGTATTTTTTGAAATTGTTGGTTGAGCTTTTTACTTTTTGTCATAGTTCAGTGAATTAATTTCTTGATACTACTAATAATATTATCACTGGTACCTTTGGAATGGGACCTCTATTCAGCTGTTATGGTTTAACAGTAGGATCTAAATTATTTATTCATTTGACTGAACTACCTAAAATACCAGCTTGACTGCAGTCACCTCTCATTTTCAATTTTGTCACATTTTTTTAATTTGGCAGAATTGTGGTTAGGTATCTGTTTTTGTCTTTAGCAGTTGATTTTAGCTTTGTGTCTGTGTCAGTTGACATGAGAAGGTTAGTTGTCACAGATTGTCACATATGGTGACAAGAGCCATAGTTGCCTCTCTGGGGGCCCAGTTTCCCTTCTGTGTTTGGCCAATTCTAAACAGTCTGTTAGTCTGGTCTGTGCTTTTATGTGTGATAAGACTTAAATTTTTGTGTAATTGTTTTTATTTTCATTGTGTTTTTATTGTGTTCATTTTCATATTGTGAGTCAAAGTTATAATATCCCCATGGTGTAGCGGCTAGATGCTAACCTGTGGATGCAAAGATAGCTGATTCGAATCCTCCTGCAGCTGGATTTTCTGCATGGAGCTTTTTTCAGACCATGATCTTGGCCCCTGGGTCAATTCAGTCATATTAACCCTACCAGACCTCAGGCCCTGAACATAACTGTCCCCTATATCATCTGGACTTCTGAGCATTAAAGATAAAAAAAAAACCAGTATGATACAGAAAAATGTTAGTTACATGCAAACAAGTGATTAGAATAAGATGGAACTTGGAGGCATTGTAGAAAATAGGTCTGCCTTTTATCTAGTGCCAGTATTCTACCTTTGTGTGCTAATCCATTCATCAGAATGAGCCTTGTTTCACACAGAGATACTTCTTGCAAAATGAGTACTAGATTTTGGTCTTCGCCTTCTTGCATGGATTGTCTTTGTAGGACACTCCAGGATTTTGCTTGTTGTACCCGGAGTGCTTTATACATAAGTATTCCATATAGATCATCAGTCCAAGAAAAGCCTTAATATCTTCTACTGTGGCATCCTTGAAATTTTTGGCATTGAAGGAGTTGGACTTTGCTGAATGAAATTGGTGGGCCCAGAGGTTGGTTTTCTCTGTCAAATTTTGCCAGAAAGTATCCAAAAAGAAGGATAAGTCAGTTGGTTCACTCTTGAATGTTTTCCATCGTCGTTTAAATTCAGATCTGTATTTGGTGACACAAACCCCTGTGTGGGTTCCGGGGCCCTATTATAGGAAAAACAAGAATAGGCCCACTGCCTACCGAAAAGCATGTCGTAAGAGTCGACTAATTGGGAGCTTCCTTCGACGTTGGAGTGCATCTGCCTGAGAGGCAAGGAACCTTCAGTCTGCACACAAATGCGTCAGATTTGTCAAATGGATGCACACACAACACTCGGGTTCTGGAACAGGACTGCAGTCCAGAAGTGGACGAACAACCAGAACTTTCCATCAGAGTTTACTGCTGGTGAATGCAAAGAAGAACAAAAAACGAGATGATACCAAATTCATTGTCCAACCTTCATCACCACCTAGATCTCACCCATCAGCTGTTTGAGGGATGTGCCCCCCCCCTCCCCCTTTTCCCCCCGAGGAAATTCTTACTCTGATTCTGAGTTTGAATCAACTAAAGTATTGATCACCTGTTGGACTGTAAAAAGCCTAGACCTGCTTCACTTTCCTGTTGAAGTGTTCATCAGTCGTTCATTTCATTGTGAATTTTCAGACTTTTGTTTCACATTAAACCACACAAAGCCAATTCAAACACATGGAAGAAGTCATTTGGGATGGATAACCATTAGGTTTGACCACGATTGGTTGGTTATTTTTAGTTTGTGACGCATTTTATTTTTTCACATACTAGGCAAAGTACAAAAAATGAGGTACAGCGGTGTAGCGGCAGATTAGAAAATTACTGCAAAATCGGTACAGCGGTCTGTGAGTGTTAACGGGCACCAGGAAGGAATGACGGCCAGCATGGTGTTGACCGCATCAGGCACCGAGTGCTGATTGTTCTAAAAATATATGGTCCAAAATGCCTAATGGTGGGGGAAAGTGTTCTTTACTATACCTTTAATGAGGTCTCATATATATGGTTCTCTGTGAGGTATATTACTGACTTGCTCAGTAGATCAGAACACTGTATGCTTTGTGACATAAATGTAGTTACGTCTGCACCTCAAGATAGAAGAGAACAAAACAGACTGAATGAATGACAATGACGGGCTTATGTGTGTGCTTTTCAAAGGGGACTAATCCAGAAATAACAGTAGTAATTCATTTTGACTGTTAGCTAGGTCAAAGAAGAGCAGGAAGAAAAGAAATGTGTCAGGTAAAGCGGAAGTAGGCAAGAAAGGATCTCATCTTTTGTTTGGCCATTAATGCTATTTAAAGATTTAGTATTTTACTTGGCCATTAAGGCCATTTCATCAAGCCAGTCTGTGTTAAGATAACTATTTTCGCTCCTGCACCAGTATAGGCTGCAAGAAAGGATCTCATCTTTTGTTTGGCCATTAATGCTATTTAAAGATTTAGTATTTTACTTGGCCATTAAGGCCATTTCATCAAGCCAGTCTGTGTTAAGATAACTATTTTCGCTCCTGCACCCCTGCAAGAAAAGGATCTCATCTTTTGTTTGGCCATTAATGCTATTTAAAGATTTAGTATTTTACTCGGCCATTAAGGCCATTTCATCAAGCCAGTCTGTGTTAAGATAACTATTTTCGCTCCTGCCCCAGTATAGGCTATGGCTCGACTGTTTCACGCATTTGTCTTTTCTGGTTAGAAGTGACATCATATATTTTATTTTTCCAGGCAATTATAAGGTGGAGATGTTCGATAAAAATTCCAATTCCTTTATTCCCACCGTGTATGGACTGGGAATGCATGTAGAATGCAGGGACCCAGATGATCGGGTAGTTTTATCCAGGGTAAGACATGAACTCCAGTTCTTTGCAGATAGTAATATCTCTGCATGAGCTCATTTTTCTCTGTCATTATTCTTATATTGTAGCACGTATCCTAACGGTTTAATCAAAGGCTGTTTCTGGTATTTATGTGTTTTATGGCATTGATAACTACTAATTTTATAGCTGTTTTCATAGCCTGGTATTTATATTGCATTGCATGCTACTTTGAAATAGTACCTCAATTTGTTTAACATTTTTCAGTCTTTCTAACAAAAGCAAGTATGAATAGTTATAAAACTACTTTAGTGAGTGTTTTTTTCCCTTCAGTAAACTGGTTTCACAAGTCATATATACCAAAAAAGATGGCTTTTCACTCTGTAGTATACTAAAATGATGGCTTTTCGCTTTGTAATATATGAAAATTTATGTCTTTTTACTTTTTGGTATGATTAATATAATTTGTATTAATCATTACCATACTATGCTGTCTAAACCATTACCAGTATGGCCAATTATTTCATTTTACAAGAAACAAAACTGTTTATCAGTCAGTCCCCTTTGATGTTTAGATCATGAAGAATGTCAGTATTTGTCTTCTTCTTGCTCATTGATGTCCTGAGAATATTCCTGTGGTGTTCAAAGGCCTTGATTTTGTTCTTCAGTCATTTGTGAATCAGTCCTTCCTTCATATTTTTATGTTGCCATGTCCTCCGGATTTTCACATAATGTTGTTCACTGATGTTGTGCCATAAGCACTATAAACTCTGTAACATAATCATTACTGAAGTTTTCTCCTTTATTCTTTTACTTCTCTGTTCTCTCTGGGAAAAGCAGTTGGCATATTGTGTTGTGGTATACAGCCAGGCTGTGATATATGTGCCTTTCTGCGCAGTGCGTATGATTTCAGTAAATCCCTAAGTAGTCACCTTTGTGAAATGCTAAATATAATACAAAATGTGACTAGAAAGTTTAACAGAGGGAATGGAACAGATACACACAAACACATCCGAACATTTCGACCAGTCTTTATCAACTGAGTACTTTATACAGCACAAACTGTGACTGGACAACTCAACGGACAAGACAACAGATCTAATAAAAAAAAGTCAACATGAAATCAAGAAGTACGTAATTGGGGGGGGGGGGGGGGGGGGGGGGGGTTGTAAATATTAAGGGCTATAGTACGAAAAAGTTTGGAGCTTTTCGATTAAAATGTTACAGAAAATTCATCAGAATACCAGAAGAGGAAAAAACATCCACATTCTACACAAGTTAAAAAAAAATCAAGGAGAACTGGCTTATAAACAGTGTCCTGTCCCAAAAGATGCATTTTGGCCACATTAAACATCATGTTGGCTTGGAAAAGATGGTAATGGAGAATGCAGTTTGTGGAAAGTGAGGCAGGGGTCAACCTCCACGAAAATATAAGGACTTAAGCAATAGGACAACAGATAAGATGAATTAACTCAGTTTTATAAGTAAAAGCAGGACCCATTTCCACTCTAAGAAGCATATTGGGCATGTTAGACTCATATTTTTTATTGACCAATTAGTAGGGTTAATATACTGCAGTGGTTGGGGCATACAGAGAGAATGGCAGATAATAGAAACAAAAAACTGTACACCATGGAGTTGAATGGGAGTAGATGATGAAGCAGACCAAAAGGGTGATGGAGAGATAATCTACAGACATATCTACATACACATAAAGTCAACGGTGGGAAAGAGAAGGCCAGTCACAAAGATGAATGGAGTTTATGTGGTGTCTGCAGCAGTAAACCTTAAGTGCTGTGAATGCTGAAGAAGAAGCTAGTAAATATTGGTCAATGTCATACACAGTACATATTATTCAGTGTAATGCCCGTCATAATTTCTTCCCATTCCCTTCCCTGCGTGGGTTCCGGGGTCCCATTGTAGGGAAAACAAAAATAGAGCCACTGCTTCCCCAACAAGCATGTCATAAGAGTCAACTAATTGGGGGCTTCTTTCAAAGTTGGAGTGCATCAGTCTATGCATTGTCATTGAAAGCATCTGGGGCTGGAGAGCTGGCTAGGGAAAGGGATACTTTTTAGGTTGCCATGAGGAGAGTAATGTTCTGTTAATGACATGCTGACTGGTGATGATACAAAACAAAATAAGTTACAAGACTATGTGAAAAAGAGGTGTAGACAAATCTTGCAATCAGCTTGACTGTGGTCACCCCGTATTTAAGTCATCACTTTTATGACATTCTTGTTAGAGGACAGTGGGTATATTCCCACCAATACAATCTTGAAATCAACATGTGAAACTGGCTGTAAAGGCACGTTAATGAAATATTAGTTATATTCAGATAGTCATGAAATATAAAATATGTGGCATATGAAAAATTACCTATGTTGTAAAGTTTACCTGTTAGACTGTATTCTTTCATTGCTTGCAACTTTCATTTCATATCTGAGATAATAGCTAACAGTAAACTCTACTAACATTGCTTGTTGAATGCATTATGTTGCTTATTATTTGCTTGTACTAACAGATGAAATGTTTTAATCCAAGTTCTTTTATATTCATTACCAGTCAAGATCAGAATTTTGTCTTTGAACTTAAAAATAAAAAGGAGAAAGCTACATGTCAACCACACATTACATTCAGTTATAAAATTCAAATGATCAAACTTTACACCTTAGCACCATAATGACAATGGACAGCTTAAAAGAAGTCAGAAAATGACTGGCCATATTGATGCTGAGGTGCAAGAGAATTAAACACCTGTGATACAACACCAGCAGACAAATGAAATTTGTAGAATAGACATTTTTCCGGTGGCAGTTTATGGATGACCACTGGAACAGTTTAAAACCACTAAAGATGAAAATCTGGACCTTTGAATTTAAATGGTGAGAAAAGTTCTTATAATATTTTGGAACAAGGCAAGGTTTTATAAAAGTAAATAACCCTTTTACATGCCTTCAGAACATGGTATAGTAGAGGATTTCTATCTGATCCAAACATCAAAGAAATCTGGCTAATAAACAGCATCATACCTTGGAAACATGAAATAATCTATCTACATGAAACACTATATAGATATGAAACACCTGGGATGTGACAACTACCAGCAGAGCTAATTCAGGCTGGAGGAGAAGCCAGCATTATTCTGTACCATCCTATGTGTGAAAAGAAGCAGTGCTGATTGACTCAAAGCGTGGACAAGATCAGTTTATTTTCTGGAAAAGATCAGATTATGAATTTAAAGAAACAAAATTGGAAAAAAAAATATCTTGTCTTCAGTAAATACAGCACACCAATCACATTTCACAATAGAAAATGAAAAAATGGAAAATGTCACAGATTTCGAATACTTGGGCTCTTTAATAAACAACAGTGGAGACTGCATGAAGGAAATCAAAAGAAGACTTGCAGAGATTAAACAGCATGAAGAACTTGTGGCAAAGCATCTGTAAATTAGTTAGAGTAAAAATCTTGTGATCATGCACTTTTCCAGTGGCAGCTTACGGTTGTGAGTCCTGGACTCTCACTCAGTCACTGAAGAAAAAGATTGGAGCTTTTGAATTAAAATGTCATAGAAAAATTTTCAGAATACCATTGATCAAGTGAAGGAAAAATGACGACATTCTGCATGAGTTAAACATTGAGGAGATCTGGCTCGTCAACAGTGTCCTCTCCAGAAAGTTGAAGTATTTTGGCCACATCAGATGTCATGGTGACTTGGGAAAGATGGTGATGGAGGCTGCAGTTTGTGGAAAGTGAGGCAGGGGTTGACCTTGGCAAAGATGGATGCAGGACATTATAGATGCATTGGCATTGAAAGCACATGGGGTTGGAAAGCTCGCTGAAAGAAGGATACTTTTGGGCATGTTATGAGTGGAGCGACGTTCTGTTAAGGGCATGCTGATTCGTGATATGAAACACTACAGTGGCTTAGAAAGAACAATAGAAGTATTGAATTAGATTGTGTGCCATATTTACATTGAAGATTGGCTCTAATGTATCCGCTGCTGTCTTTTGGAATATTACGTGGTGAGGACTGCCTCTTGCATGGTGCAACATTATACCAGTGTCTGAAAACCATAAGAATGGCTTTTTAAATCATTCATCCTTGGGGGAGTTCGAAACATAATATCGAGGCTCATGAAATTGTGAAACTCATCCACCAACTTCTGAGCCACAGAGCCCCCCTAGAACACATGGTTTCTGTAAGAAAATAGACACACTGTCTTGTAACAAGCAGAGAATAGACATCTGTCTTGTAACAAACAGACAATAGACACACTGTCTTGTAACAAACAGGCCATAAAAGGCAACTAATTTGCCAAGACAGAATATGATGGGCGAAAGGTACAAATGTCGCAGCCTAGCTTAAATGACAAAACAACTTGCCTGTTACCCTTTTAGAGACAAGTGCAGGGAAAACAGTTATTTGTTTGAGATGTTTTTCAAGAGATCTCTTTGGCAAAGTGGTCAAGCCATTTGGCTCGCACTCTGAAAGCTGAGTGCCGAGTTCATGAATGCAGTTTTTACCGAAACCCCTGGGGATCTTTGCTAAAGCTAAGTTTGCGACTTGTCGGCAGACGGCTACCTATTCTGCGGAGAGAGACCGACGAGCCAAATGGGTTAACACAGTGCAGTATAGTCGATCTTCTCAACTTGAACTTGAACTTAGTGTTCTTCAGTCTCAGTCATGGATTTCCTGAAAACCTGGTTTACTTTGTGTGGTGTCATGAAAAGCTGAAGCTTGTACACTGATTTACTGACAGAACAGTGTGGTTTTACTCCTAGTGGAGGAAGTTGGGGCTCTGGTTCTACTAGTCATGTAAGAAGAGTACCAGCTATTTCTTTGGGAAGGAACTATGTGCTCAAGGGGGTTAACCAATATTCTTGTACAGAAGCCATGTATAATGCTGTTGATAATCTGATTTGTAACAACTTGAAAACGGGTATATGGCTCATTGTCTTGTCAAAACAACTTGAACAAAGGGAATTTGACACTGTCTATAGAGTTGCGATGATTGTCTATACAGATGGCTCTGTGTTGAGGGGCAGACAAATTGAATGGGGTTTCAATTAAAATGGGAATGGATGTCGCCTAGTGCAGCAAAGCCTTGCTTGTGATATCACGTCTAGTTTGAGAATGGAGGTGGAGGCAGTCTCTGCTGCCTTCCGGTGGCTTGAGAATCAGCTGTACACACATGCAGTGATTGTCACAGACTCACAGAGCATGTTGAGAAAGGTTAAAACAGGTGTGCTTTGTGCAGAGTGGCAAGCATCACTTCAGAGGTCCCTGGTAGTTAGCATCCTTTGGATATTTTCTCCAGGTTATGCCGGTGTGTTAGGAAAGGAGCTGGCAGATAGACTAGCTGGCTCTGCACCACTTGGTGGTGAAGTGATGTATGACAAGTTAGATATTGTGAGGGCCCTTTGGGAATGGGTAAACAGAGCAGAGGCGCAGATAGATCATTACTGTCTGAGGAGAATGGCGCTGCAAGAAGTTACCAGGGGATCTGACCGACACTCAACACTCAGGGGAAGGATAAGACGGATATATAATCAGGTGGTTGCTGGTACCATCAGAATTGGAACTCTTCGCTAGGGACTGAGCACTTATAGGAGTGCCCCGAGTGCTGTGATGTTGATTCTTGATTCAATATTCATCATCATCATTCAGAGTGACAATGCCAATAGCGTCAAGACGTACAGGCTGATGCACAGGCAGTAACACTGTGTTAGCTCAGATTGGACTCGTAACCAAATGTATACAGTTCTAAAGCATCTATTTCATCTGCTGTGTTGCAGGTAGATATAAAATACAGGCTTTTTCTAAAGCACAACAGGATGTTCTCCCTGTTTCTCCTGGTGTCGGTGTTCATGTGGAAGTTACTGATCCCAATGACAAAATTGTGTTGTCCAGGGTGAGTCCTGTTCTGTGCTGACACAACACAAACTGTTTGTTGAAAGAGTTTGTGAGTTCATTACATTGCTGGGATCACAAGAGTTTTAGTAATACAGTAGCTAGTGTGCATGCTTGTCTCTTTGATCATAACAGGATTGAATCCCAGTTGAGGCTGATTTTTCAGATATGGGGCAGCTCCCAAGTTTGTCCAGTCTAGAGTAAGTGCCAGGAAATGTCCTGGAAAGTAAAAGTTGCTGGTATGATAACCATTGAGTGTTAACTGGTATATCAAAAATGTAGCTGGCACTGTATACTAAATAGGCATCAAGGTAGGGAAACAGTCTTTTTTAGAACATATTTACTTTGTCTGCAATTGCAAAGTGTTGGGGTATAGGAGCATTAGTTTGTTGATATAGTAGTGAATCAACTGTGAATACACCTATGTTGCTCCCATGTCCACTGTTACCGTATGTATGTGATGTCAAATACATCATGTAATAGTTGTGTTGTCTATTGGGGAGATAACTTCTACTTCCATATATCAATTTAGCGGTGTATGATTCCTTAATCTTTAAATGGAGTAGGTCAAAGGCTGTGGATTCATTTTGATCTGAAAAACTATTCTACAATCAAGACCATTGTACATGACTGGAAAAGGCAAAAGCCACAATGAATTTAGAGGAGACAATTGGAAAACACCTCAAGTTTAAGGTGGACCTGCGTGTTGATGGACTGAATGGCTGTAGATTTGTAAGCACAAGATTTGGACTCCTTCAGGACATCCTCTATCTCTTCCCTAGCAAACAGGCACTGCTAGGTTGACTGTTTGTTTATGCAAAGACAGGAAATGCTGGATTGTTCAACTGAAAATTAAGTCATACAATTTATGAAGAACACAGAAGGCTGATGTTTATCGAGAAACATGACTACTGTGTCACCTGACACATGATGATACCTTAACCAGCCAACACTCAGACTGATCAAGAAACTTAGGCAGCAGTCGTAAATATTTTCTGACATTACCCTTTTTGTAGTTATCTATGAATATATCTACATCACCAGGATAGAAATTGATTTTGTATGGTCTCTGTGAGTTTGTGCCTGTTGCATGTTCAGATTCCATCATTTAAATACTGAATTTTTGTTCATGGATGTTCTATATTATATTTTTAATAATTCTTTTGTTTAATTTAAATTCTGATTAATGTGCTTGAACTCTTTGAATGTATTGTATAGCTGGCCTTGGTATGCATGCTATTTGTAACCTGTTTGGCACATTAATATCATTACTTACACGGTATATGAACGCCTTTGCTTAGTACATTATTAACACTACATTTGAGAACTAAAATTGTTTGATTATTTGTAAATATATTTTTTAATATAAAACCTTGAGTTCACAACACAATAACAACTAACAAATAACAAGTTATTTGTAATTCAATTCTTAAGTGTCTTTCACCAGCAATGTCATTATATAATATGTTTAAGTTTGTAAATTGTAAATAAAATGTTTTATATGCATTTTCTTCAATTCCTCCTCATTCTTACTCTCCTCCTTTCCCTGTCTATCCTACTCATCTTTACCCTTCTTCTTTTTCTTTGGTTGTTCATCCTCCGATACTGATTTTACTCTCAGATAAAACTTTAGATGACACAAGTGTTTTACTGTTTCCTTGATGACTTTAAGTTTTGTTTCTTAGACTTCTTAAATTTCACCCACAGCTATAATGCTAACTTAACATTTATAAGCATTGTCTTCTTTACACAGCATTGACACCCTTGCCACAATTTGAATATATAATTTCCCTCTGTGGTTAGATTCATAGGGCAAATTTCTTCTTTTTTTTTCCTTCTATTCCACCTTTCATTGTTAACTTATTCTAGAATATAAAAGCTGTATTACTTAATTAACACAATAATGGTTTGGTTATCTGGTCAGAACTGAACACAATCAACCAGCATATACAGTGTACTACATGAGAACAGCAGGCTCTAAGTCAAGATGCCAATGAAGAAAGAGATGATTGGAAGAAGTAAAAGAGACACTTCAGAAATGCAGTATTATATTTACACAAGCTACACAACTAGGCAACAACAGGAAACTACATCTAACTCCTCTCTGTGACACTTTAGGACATAAGCAATAGGACAAAAGATAAAGATGAATGAACTCACTTTTCTGAGAAGCATATTGGGCATGTTAGCCTCATATTTGTTATTGGCCAATTAGTAGGGTTAATGTACTGCAGTGGTTGGGGCATACAGAGAGAATGGCAGATGATAGAAACAAAAAACTTTACACCATAGAGTTGAATGGGAGTAGATGATGAAGCAGATCAAGAGGGTGGGGGAGAGATAATGTACAGACATGTCTACATACATGAAGTCAATGGTGCGAAAGAGAAGGCCAGTCACAGAGATGAATGGAAGTATGTGGTGTCTGCAGCAGTAAACCTTAAGTGCTGTGAATGCTGAAGAAGAAGCTAGTAATTACTGGTCAGTATCATGCCCAATAATATTTTGTTAATGCAATGTCCGTCGTCAATACTTCCCATTCCCTTCCCTTCCCCATGTTGGTTGGATGGTCTCATTTTGGGGAAAACAAGAATAGACCCACTGCCTCCCCAGCAAGCATGTCCTATGAGTCAACTAATTGGAGGCGTCTTAAGTCGGAGTGCATCTGTCCAAGAGGCAAGAAACCAACAATCTGCATACAGTTAAGTTGTATCTGTTAAACAGATGTGGACACAACATTCAGGTTCTGGAACAAGACTAAGGTCCAGAGGTGGACAAACAACCAAAGGTTTCTGCTAGAGTTTACAGCCAGTAAATGTAAAGAAGAAGAAAAAGATTACTTCCCAGATCATTTCAGGCCCCTATTGTTTAGGCTGGGCTGACCTAGGGTTAAGGAAGTAAGGGCACCAACAAATAAACCCTAAAAGGAACGTTGATGAAAAAAAGGCCTGATAATATCATTTTAAGTATAATCTCATGTTACCTCAGTGGTACATAATGGGCCCGTAATGCCTGAAATCTTTGTTTTTCTTCACAAATCCACCATGGGAGTGGCTTAACTCGGGACTCACATGCGTGAGACTCATGTTCAAATCCTCTGTATGGTTATGGAGGGGGGGGGGGGGGTGAAATTTATTTTCTAACCTAAACAGTCTGTGGCGACACTACTAGCCCAGAGGCCCTAAATCCTTAAGGACTCTTCTGCCTACATCACACAAGTAGTATGTAAATAGGCAGTAATGGTAATTTATTCCTCAGTGTCAATCACTGTAATTTGTTTTAAATATGTGAACCGTGCTGAGAACAATTTGCATTATCTAAACTTACATTATAAAAGAACTAACTTAAAAGATGGTGTCCTTACATGCACTAGAATGTTTTTATCTCTTTAAACCAGATATTTTTTATAAACAATTTCAGCTTTTATGTATGACATAAAATTATGTTTCCTGTGACAGACATATGCTGCTGAAGGTCGATTCACTTTCACATCGCATGCTGCTGGTGAACATGTGATCTGCCTCAACTCAAATTCTTCTGCCTGGTTCAATGCTGGACAGTTGGTTAGTAAATTTTACTTGTTTTTTTACTTAAGAAATGTAAACACAACAAAGGATATGGTTGATGTGAATTTATTAGCCAGCGAAATAAATCTAAGACAAAGGACATTATGCTAAAGATAGATAGTCTCAGAGGATGTGAAGTGGGATTTAGCAATACTACCAGATGATAAATTCCTTTGTAGGGGATAATTCTTATGAAGTAATCTTTAGATCGATCTGTGTATATTCTCTTCAAGATTCATTGACACATAGGGTATTCAAAAGTGATCTCCATTGCTCCCAGTCTGCTGCTTTTCTGCCCTTGGTATCTCATATCATTTTTACATTCCTTCATTTGCCTTTCTGCTGTCATTTTTCAGTCGTCCACATTCCTTTTTTTTCATCTGCCATCATGGTAGAGCTGTCCTGGCCGAAGTGTCACAAGATATTCTTCAAACATGCCCAAGCCAATCTCCTCTTCTTTCTTTCATAACATTTCCCAGGGATAAACATTTTGTTTGTTTCTGCTCCTTTGTTCATCATTTGTAGTCCTCTTGGCCAAAAATTATTTTTCATGAAAGATGTATATGACTATAAACCCAAATCCATAGTGAGGCATTCTTTTAAAAATTGAGCTTGATTACCAGCTCAACCCTTTAATGTAAAGTAAAATTAAAGGACCCTTTTTTCACAATTTTCAGGCATATTGGGTATATAGGGCTAGACCTATATTTTATAGACCAAACGGCACTTGGTGGGTGATGTGGTTAGCATGGGTGCACACACACCCCCCCCCCCCCCATGTCTGAATTATATTGATAGACAAAGAATGAAATGAACAGATCCATCCGAGAAGCGCAAGGCGTACAGAAAACTGGTACTGGGCTAAAACCTAGTATCAGTGAGACGGCAGGAGAAAAAAAACAAGAAAGAAAGTTTTATAGGTGGCTTTCTTAGGGAAGAATACACCCCAGATATTTTGTGGCATGCAAGAAAAGAAACTTGAATAATTCTGTTCTTGTCTTCTTCCCTAGAGAGTTCACTTAGACATCAGCGTAGGGGAGCATGCAGTGGATTACCAGCAGGTGCAGGCCAAAGATAAGCTCACAGAGCTGCAGCTCAGAGTTCGACAGCTCTTGGATCAGGTTGAGCAAATTACAAAGGAGCAGAACTATCAGCGGGTAATTTGTTTTATTTAGCATGAGATTGTAGTCACATTTTGTAATTTGTATTGGTTGCCTCCAGGGTAAGTTTCGGGTTCCCATTGTGGGGAAGACAAGAATAGACCCACCGCCTAGCCAGAAAGCATGTCGTATGAGTCGTCTAATTGGGAACTTCTTTTGAAGTCAAAGTGCATCGGCCTGAGAGGCAGGGAGCAAACAGTCTGTATACAGATAAGCCAGATGTGGAAAACAGATGTGCACGTAGCACTCAGGTTCTGAGACAAGATGAAAGTCTAGAGGTGGACGAACGAGAGGGGTGTTGAGGGGGGGGGGTAGACACACAAGCATGTTGTAACATGTAGGTATTTAAGATTGTGCTGAAATCTGATATGCTGGGCAGATATCACAGCTCAGTTGTAAACTGCAACAGGAAGTATGTGTGTACATCCATTTTACAGATCTAACTATGCATACTGTTAATTCCTCGCCTTTCGGGCACATGCACTCCAACTTCATAGGAAAAAAATCCCTAATTCATCACCTTTTATGACATGCTTGTTTAAAAGGCAGTGGGTCTATTCTTTTGGACCTCATCTTCTGGGGGCAACTTGTGTCTTGACTTCTATGTTAATCTTTAAGTTGTTCCATTCCTGTGCAAACAAAAACCACACAATGTCTATCACCGTCCGTTATTGAAAAATTGAGACATACTGCAGTCTTAGCAAATGCAATAGTATTCACACACACTAGATGTATAAGGCAGCCATCAGAAATGCTAAGACAAATAGTCTGACACTAGAAATTTGGTTCATCATTGATGGAAGCAACAGTTACAACAGCTCAGTAATTCCACACACAATAGTCACATAGGGCACCACCAGTTCTGTGGTGACAGGTCATCCGCCATTTTCTGAATCTGCTGTTCACAACACAAGCTTCTTCGTCACAGCAAAGAATATTCAAAATAACGCAGCTCACAGTGTGGCGTCATGCACCCAGTTTAGTAGCTAGGCGATGAAACTATATCCTTTGTCTGTTTGTCTGCTGGTGTAGGAATATACTACAGCCAACTATTGCCAGAAGCAGAAACTTGCCTCGGCTAAAAACAGAACCTGTCTATCCTCAATATTGATTGGAAGCCCACCTTATATGATTGTAGATGCTACAGAGTTTATTCACTGCTACGATTCTTCTTGTGTTCTGTAAAGGAAGACTGAAGTACTCATGTATATATCGGTGCTGCATAGAAAAAAAAATAAATCCCTGTCCAATACTAAGCCAGATCTGTTTCTCTTCCACTATCAGCATCTCATAATTGCTCTTTCACTCTTCTGTTTGCAGTACCGGGAGGAAAGATTTCGACAGACCAGTGAGAGCACCAACCAGCGCGTATTGTGGTGGGCTATCGCCCAGACCATTGTTCTCCTTGTGACAGGTTTCTGGCAGATGCAGCATTTAAAGAGCTTCTTTGAAGCCAAAAAGCTTGTTTGAAAAACGTTGATTAGTTCATTTAGCCTCTTATGTTAAATATATGTATTTCTACTGCATTTAACTTTCATTCTGATTTTTAAAAAAACACATTTACTAACTTTTTTTTTTGTTATGGCGGCAGAAATGATGTGTTTATAGTGTGGGTTTATGATTAATTAGTTATGGCACATTGTCAAATGTCACGTATACTCAGCTGTGCTGTATGGTGCAGAAACCTGGACAATGAACAAGCAGCTAGAGAATTGAATTGAATCTCTGGAAATATGGATTTACAAAAGAATAGATCATTTCTCATGGAAACAAAAAACTTTAGAAGTTCTGGAGAGACTGAATGAATAGAGCTACTGAAAAAAAAGACAATTGAAATATTTTGGCCACATTATAAGACCATACTCTTCTGAAGCCATACGGGGGTAAAAAGTCTAAAGCAAGAGAGGAAGATTTAGACAATGTTACACTTGGGAGAACAACATCAAGAGATGGTCGAAGACAGCGTAGAGTATGTACTACCAAGATAAGAGACAGAGAGTGTTGCAGCCAGCTTTCATTGTAGAAATGGCACCTGAATGATCAAGTTAGGGCAATTGACTTGTCTTCTTGGTGTGAGGCATACTGAGTAGATGGTGTCAGTTTCATGTTGTTGTTTAACCAGCCAAGTGGTGTCATCAGGTCATCACTGGTTGCCTGTACTTACTTTCCACAAAAATGCATATATTTTAGGCTAGGCGGATAATACTCAAGTCAGCGTGGAAACAGTTCCACCTCAAAGGATTCATTCACATTACTACTGGGCCGGCAATATAAGCTATATATATATGTATCTGATGTTTTAATGCTAACAGTCCCACAACATTACTTTTTTAAAATAGCTAATCATTATATAATCCTTTCATAATGTTTGTATTTTCTTTACTGAGTGTTGCATTGTGCTTATCATTTAAAGTATAACATTTTAAGCTACATCATTATCTTGAAAAGAGAAATATATAGTTTCCGGTAATAGTTACATTGGTCTCTCCATGCACCGCCCATATACACACTAGCTCACTTCTGATTGGTCAACCTTGAGCTACCTGACCTTAGCACAAAGTGACGGGGGTGTTCTGCAATGCTGTTGACATTGCGTTTTCTATATTTCATCACACCAGCGCCTTTAATGCTCCAAAAACATCAATATACCCCTTTAGAGAGAAAAACTTAAGTCACAGGCATTCTCTTTCTCGGAATTAAAATGTATTTGCAAGACAACACAGATAGCAAACAACAGAGTGGCACACCCGTAACCCCCAGCAGGTAAGACCAGTCCAAGAAAGTTATCAATGAACATGACCTACTTTCTTTTGGGGAGACTAAGGTTTGTTTGACCTAGTTTCCTATTTTTTGTTGTTGTTGATAAGCCCTCATATTCTGATAATAACAGTCCAGAAAACTGTCCTTGAATGGTGGTGTTATGCTGAGTGATTTGTGACAATTGTAACTTCATAACTGTGTGGTGATATGCATCTTGTCTTGAGTGTGCTACTGCTGCTGTTGTATTGGCAAACATTGAAAGGTTCACATATTTCAACCTGTGTCATGCCTGTCTGTCTGTATTTTAGATGTAGATATTACATGATTATTGAAGACGTATTGGCTATGAAAGCACATATGGCTGGAGAATTGGCTAGAAAGAGATTTTCAGGCGTGCTGTGATGAAAGCAACATTCTGTAAAAGACCTGCTAATCAATGACGAGATATTACATATTTTGTTTAAACAAACTAAATTTGTTGTTGTTTCTTATCGTCTGAAAGGCTTCAACTGCATTTGTCCTTTAAAGTGCGATTATCATGTTATGTTATGGTTAAAATTATGGCTTCGATATCTGTGCTTTTTGGCCCAAATTCGATGAATAGCAGCAAAATCCTTGTTAATGGTAACCTCATATCATGGTTATTTTTTTCATCTAGAATTTAAGAGATGTACTAAGCCTATGAGAGCACAGTATTCAAATATTGTGGATTGTTCCACATAAGCTTCCATACATATGATATGTATAAAAACACCACCAAGGTCATTACAAGCATAACTCTAATCTACACAGATGGTTCTAGATTAAGAGTGAAGAGAAGTGCCTCGGGTTTTGTAGCGAAAGCCAGTGGAAGATCTTTAGTGCAGGACAGCCTGGCATATGATAACACGACATCTTGCGTGAGAATGGAGGTGAAGGCGGTCACTGCAGCTTGCCGGTGGCTAGAGAACAAGATATATACACAAGTTGTAATTGTAACCAACTCAGAAAGCATGCTAAAAAAATGAGGACAGGATTGCTTCGAGCAGAGTGGCAAGCTTCAAGGTCACAGGTAGTGAGCATACTTTGGATCTTTTCTCCAGGTCTTGCTGGTGTGGTGGGGAATGAACAGAGGGACAGACTGGCTGGATCTGCACCACTTGGTGGTGAATTGATACATGACAAGGCAGATGTGGTTGGAGCCCTTTGGGAACAAGTAACGAAGTCAGAAGAGAAACTAGATTACGGGCTGGAGAGAATGATGTACCTGGGTGTGACCAGAGGGTTCGGCCAGCACACTGTGCTCAGAGAAGAGGCAAGACGGTCATACAACCAGACTGTGACTGGCACCTTTAGTATTGGAACTCTACACTGGCTGCTGAGGTTGGGGACGGAGCTTGAATGGGAATGCCCCGAGTGCTGTGATATCAGTTCTTTACTCCACTGAACTCAAGCATAACTTCAGCTTTACATATATGTGTTTTTCATGTATAGTAAAGTTTTTTTTTTATTGCTCGTATCTTTTGGTTTTCTGCACAAAATGTCACCATTGAGAAACAGCGTTCATTTAAAAGTCAGTTATTAAATTGTTTGTTTTCCAGTATATGATCTGACTTATACTTCTTTCATCTTGTCTATTTCTTCAGTGTACATCTTCAGGTTCCATCTGGACACTGACAATTGTGTGCGATCAGTTTCTAACATGCTTTTCTTCACTACAGGTTTTTGCCAGTTGATCTCTGGATGTTTACTCAGACGGTGACTTTCCATTATATACTTATCTACTTTGCCCTTAATCAGTACTGTATTGAGGTGTATCTGTTCATATTGCCAAAGAACTATCTGATTTCGATCTTAATGTTGTTTTTTTTTCTTTCATTTTTTGTAAAATATCTTACATCTTGTTACTTGGGAGTCACCGTGGTGTTGGAGGCTAGATGCCTACTTGCGGATCGAAAGGTTGTGGGTTCAGTTTCTAACAAGGACAGGATTTATTTTTTAAAAATTACCTCGGCTCCCAGGTCCACCAAGTGGGTACCAGGTACAGTCCTTGGAAGTAAAGGTGGCCGGCGTGATGCTGACTACATCGCCCACCAAGTGCCGTTTGGTCTATAAAATATAGGTCTAGCCCTATATACCCAATACACCTGAAGGCGTGGGAAAGGATCCTTTACTTTTATCTTGTTAGTTGTTACCTATATCAACATCCTAGCACATCAGTCTGTCTCATTCATGCTCAGTGTCTCCATGCTTACTGTACCAGGTGGAGATGATTCGCATATGTTCTTTCATCCCCCGGCAACCGATTTCTTTCTGCATTCTTGTCTTTGTTTCATTACCCATTTCTAACTGGCAGTTCAGTGACTCGTACTTGTTTGTCTCAACTTCTCTGGGCAGCGCATTTAAATACTGTCCATACTTCCTCTATTAACTACTGTCTGCCCTGTCCATACTTCCTCTACTACCTACTGTCTGTCTGTTGGCTATTATATCAACCCCCCCACCCCTTTTCCCCGTTAATCTTTTATAATCTTTATTTGAAAGCCTGCATGTATGTTTCCCCACTACCCTTTGACAGTAAGCTATATCTCTTTATTTAGCTGAAAAATCTTTCTCTGAACATTCGTTAAGGTTTTCTTTAACCCCCATTCGTGTTTTACTTTGTTCGGTTTATCTGTCACGATATTCTGCCTGTTAGTGGTATAACGCTATCTTCCCAATTTTCGTGTATGTATGTAGTGTTTAACTAACGACAGTACTCTTGACAGCAGCAAGTCCCTTTGAAAGCCTACCCTCCAAAGTTTCATGAAATAAGCATCCAGTTGAATGTCATTAGTCATCCAGCGGCTCCAAGCAGGCTCTGTACGCAGACAGTGGTTTGAGTCATTGTGAAACTCCACAGTTAAGAGTTAGAATTTATCTTTGTTCTAAGATATGACTCTTATGCTGCGTGTTCTCGAGGCATGGTGTCCGTCACGAGTGCTAGAGGTTCCGGTTCAATTCCCGGTAAGGGTAGGGACTTTTTCACGTGGACTTGGACTTCTAGTAATTTCCCCTGGTCTCTGGGTAGTGAGATCAGACGCCCGTGTGTATTGTTGCGCATGTAAAAAATCCATTCATCATCATCATCATACACCACTTCTACCGTTAAGCGCCGTGGGGAGGAATAATTTGCGATCTATTGTACGGTGGCTGCCATTGGCTATTGTCATGCTGTAAAGGCGTAGAGTGTCTTTAATGCTGTCGATCCATATTTCCGCGGCCATCCTCTTGCTCTTGTAGTTGATCTTCTGAGATGTAGTGCTTGTGATGGTATTTGATCTTGCTGCATTCTAACGAGATGGCCCAACCACTTGATCTGCTGTTTCTTGATCAATCTAGTACAAGGTGTCGTTGGCAGTTGGAAATCGAAAAGAGTAGCCTAACGGCTCTGCCCGGGCAAATTTTGGAGTTAAAAATCTACCCAAAATATGTCAGGATCCTCGCCAGTGCTACAGAGCTTGTGCACTGTGCCAAGCTTCTTTGGACTCAGACTTAATTTAGAGAAGAATGGAGCACTTATGGGTTACTACCCGTGTGCCAATATGTTGATATATGCTAGTAGTGATAGGTTAGCTGGTTCTGCCAATGTATCGCGCCGACATTGTTAATGCTCTTATAAAGGTAGGATGATCAGATTATTCTGAAAGCAGCTTGCATGCATCACTGCTAAGAACGGGAGAATCAGTAGT